TTCAGCTCCACCACCGAGGAGAAGATCCACTTCACCTGCAGCGGGCGGGCGAGGGGGTGAGCATGGCCTGGACCCCAACACCAGCCTCCTGCCAGCGCCTGCCCTCCCTGCACCCAGGGCTATCTAACCTTGGGGGGTCCAGGAGGGGATGACATGGGGACATGGCCGGGACAGTGAGGTGACAGAGAGGGGATAAATGGAGACAGTGAGGGGACAGGGTGAGGGCAGTGATTGGACGGAGAGGGAGCAGTGAGGAGACAGTAATGGGAAATGAGGCGACTGTGTGAGGAGACAGTATGAGGACCGCAAGAGGACAGGGAGGGGAAGTGAGGGGACAACGAGGGGACGGTGGCGGACAGTGTGTGGACAGTGAAGGGATGGTGTGTGAACAGTGATAGACAGTTTGAAAACATGGTGGGGACAGTGAGGGGACATGGTGAGGACAGTGTGGGGACAGCATGGTGACAATGAGGGGATGACGTGGGGAGGGCCTGGCCCACCTTGAAGAGGGTGACGGTGGCGCTGTAGCACACGCTGAGCAGGAATAGTGTGATGAAGATGGAGATGGTGGTCCACAGCCCGTCCAGCTCCCCGTCCTGTGTCTCGACACAGCTCTCGTCCAGGACCACCTCTGGACAGGGAGGGGGTGGTCAGTGCTGGGCCTGCCCGAGGGGGCCTGGCACAGGGTTGGCGGGGCCTCGGGGCATGGTTCCCTGTGTGGCAGGGTGGGTGGGGCAGGTGGGAGCCCCAGCTGGGCTGGGCGAGCAGGGCCCTGAGGTCAGTCTCTGGCCTCAGCTCCCCCGTTCCTCCAACTGGTACCCCGAACTCAGCTGACACCCCTGACCCAGCTCTCAGCCTGGCCGGTGGGGAACAGCCCTCTCCTCTGCTCTGCCCTGCGCTGGGGCCCTCTGGGTAGAAGGTGCCCCAACGTCTGCAGGACAGAGGCTCAGGCCCCACCTCCTCTCTCCTGGGGACCAGGACCAGAGGGCGGAGGGTCAGCAGAGCCTGTCCACAGTGAGACAGGGTTGGGTGTGTCCCCAGTGCATGAGTGGTGGGAGTGCTGGGGATAAGCGGGGTGTGGGGGGATTTCTGTGTGTCAGGGTGGGGGTGTATGTGCCCCGGGGAAGAGGAGGGCCAGTTGTCAGAACTGGTCAGAGTGGTCAGTGTGAGGATGAGGCCTGAGCAGCCCCCGGGGTGTTGGAGGCTGTGGGGCCCATCAGGTGTCCACAGTGAGTCTTCACGAGACCAGGCTCCATGCTCCGTTGGGCATGTGCAGGTTGCCCTTGTGTGAACTCCAGTGTGTAAGGCCTGCTGTGTGTGTGTGTGCTCACGTGCGTGTGTGTGGAGGTGGTGTGGTGGCTGGCACTGCTCGGTGAGAGGGGCTTGTTTTCAGTGGGTCTGGGCTCAGTGTCCACATGGGCGTCAGGGACTGTCCCTTCTCTGGGCTCTCAGGGCCACCTGCCTCTGCTCCTTTGGGGTCTGGGAGTGAGTGTCCCCACGAGTAGGCAGGCCTGGCCCCAGACAGGGCAAGGCCAGGCAGAGCCACCTGGCCTGAGGGAGGCCGGTGGCCTGATCTCAGAGTGCCTGAGGGCGAAGCGGGGCCTGTGTCCACACCACGGGCTAGGCAATTGTCCTGCGAGAATCAGAGCCATCAGGTGGAGTCGGGGTGACCCAGTGGACAGGGAACTCAGGGGACAAGGACAGGTCACAGCTTGGGCTCCTACAGAGGAGGGACAGCCTGTGCATACATTTCCCTGAGGGGCTCCGGAGGGGCTTCTCCTTTTCCCTGGCCACACTCCAGCCCCGAGCAGCTGCTGCTGGAGGGGGGCCCAGAGAAGCTGCTGCCTCTGGCGAAGCCCCCTCCCCTCCTCAGGCAGCCCCTCCAGCCATCCTGGGCGGCCTGCACAGCCCAGAGCTCTGGGTCCTGCCTGAGTGGGACCCACTCTCTCCCCTAATGGTGACACTGTGGTCTCAGAGCTTGGCTGGCCCCCGCTCCCCAGTGCACCTGAGCTCTGCCTCAGAAAGAACCATGACATTGTCACAGGGTCCCAGGGCCATGCTGGGTGCTTTATTTCATGCCAGCGGGCCTGGGAAGTATGTACACAGGAGTGGGGGCTCAGGTGCCCTTGCTGGACCCTGAGAGCCCGAGGAGACGGAGGAAGGGCTTTCAGGGGTGCCAGGTATGTGGCTCATTTACCCGGAGACTGGGAGGTGAATTTCTCCGTGTAGTGATTGTGGAGAGCCTCGTGCATCACCGCACACGTGAACTTGACTCCCTGCTTCCACCTGCTCGTCTCCACCGAGAGCTTGCTGTACAGGAAGTAGGATCCGTCACTGTCCAGCTGGGGTGGGGTGGTTCTGTACTTGCCCTCCGGCTCTGACTCCCCGTTGCTCTGCCACTCGAGGTTGACCTCAGATGGGTAGAAGTCTTTGACCAGGCAGGTGACGCTGACCGTGCTCTTGGCCAGCTCCTCCTGGTGTGGGTTCAACACGTACACCTGCGGCTCCCGGGCTGGCCCTGTGGGAACAGTGATCAGTACAGTTGGCCACTCCCTGTGCCACCCCTGGGGACCCTCCCCACACCCGTCCGTCCTGCTCTCACCTTTGGCCTTGGAGATGGTCCTCTCTTTGGGACCTGAATGGGCTTCAATGTTGACCCTACACTTGAACTCCTTTCCACTCAGCCAGTCCTGGTGCTGGATGGGGAGGACGCTGACCACGCGGTAGGTGCCATTGGACTGCTCCTCCTTTGACTTTGTCTTGGCTGTGCTCACCTCCGTGCCGTGAACATACCAAGTGACCTGGACATCGGGGTTTTTCGGGCTCACGTCCACCACCACGCAGGTGACCTCGGGTGTCCGGGAGATCATGAGGATGTCCTTGGGTTTCGGGGGAAAGATGAAGACTGAAGGCCATCCTGGACATGGGGCGGGAGACACAGGGGGATGTTCAGCACCTGGGTGGGCCTCCTCTTGGGTACTCATCCCTCCACCGCCCATGCCTGTGCTCCGTGCACTGCCCAGGGGTGGAGGGCGAGGATCGACTGACTCACCTGGGCATTCGGGAAAAATAGGGCAGCACTTTGGTTCTTTTATGACTGCAGAGAGAGCAGACTAGGGGTTACCGGGGCTGGAGGGAGACCGCCTTTGGGTGAGCTGAAGTCAGGGCCGTGTTTGCCAGGTCTGAGTCTAGCACCCACCTCTGTGATCCCAGGGGCTGGGTTAGGGGTATCCAGCCTGCCCCCACCCTGGGCATGGCGGAAACGCCAGAGGACCCCTCCCTGAGCTTGGGAGGCCTCCCCTGCCTCCCTGGCGTCCAGGCAGGAGGGCTGACCCCGTGCCTGTCTCGTAGGGAATGCCCTCCATGCAGGCCCTCCTCTCACCGACTCTCTTGTCCACCTTGGTGCTGCTGGCCGGGTGGTCTATGTTGCAGGTGTAGATCTGGCTCTTCAAGCTGCTGGCAAGCACGGTCACCATGCTGCTGAGGGAGTAGAGCCCCGAGGACTGCAGGATGGACGGGAAGGTGTACACGCCACTGGTCACGGAGCCCGAGTTCCAGGACACGGTCACCGGCTCTGGGATGTAGCTGGAGACCAGGCAGCCCAGGGCTACCGTGGATTCAGATATCTTCCCACAGCAGGGGGCCAGTGGGAAGACTGATGGGGCCGTGGTGGAGGCTGCAAGAGAGGAGGCCGTGTGACCACCAGGGCCTCACCTTGCAAGGGTCCTGGAGCAGCGCTGAGCCCAGTGCCCATGTGCTTCCAGAATGTCTACTGACTAGATGCCCTGATGGTTTCCTGTCCCCCAGGACCAGGTGCCACTGCAGCCACCGGCTCGGGACTGGTCAGCCCAGTCAGCACTGGATGACCACCAGATTAGAGCTCCCGGGGGCCCCTGTCCCCTTGTCCCAGCCTAGGCATCCAATGGGTGGCCAGCCTGACCAACCCTTGGTCGGAACCCTGATCAGAGACTCCTGCTCCTGGCCAGTTTCTGCTGGTCCCCGAAGCCCTCTGCCATATCGACCAAGCCTGGCCCTGCCCGGGCCGAGTGGGCATCTCTTTGGGTGTGGTGGGTCGGTGCCCCACACTGCCAGTGTCTGCTCCCGGGTCCTCAGCCTCTAAGAGAACTTGTCATGGCCTGTCTCCGCTTGCCAGGCCCCGTGTCTTGTGAGTCAACACTGCCAAGGCACCATGGACCCATGTACCCAAGCTGCACGGACCCCATCCCTGCCCTGGACTGAATCTCTCCCTTGGACCCTCTCCCAGCCCCAGACCTTCTCCCTTCCCTGGACCCCATCCCTGTCCTGGACTCCATCCCTGGGTGTTTCCTTCTCCTCCTCCCCCCGTCCCTGTGGCCCCCTAGCCCAGGCTCCTAAATCTGTCTCTGGGCTCACCGTCCCTCCTCAGGTCCTCCTGGCATGGCTTCCTGAGCTCACCTCCGGCCCCTCCGCCCAGCACCCCCGCCCTGCACCATCCCTGCTCTTGGGCCTGTCCAGCTCCTTGCTCACTCCAGAGCCCTCCTCCAGCCATGATCCTTCCCGAGCCAGCCTGCCCCTCGGCACAGATGGGAGCCATGCATGGCCCTCGGCCCTCCTCTCCCCTTGGTGCCAGCATCCCCAGGCCCCAGTGCGGGTCGGGGTGCACCCCCTACCCACACACCCAGGCGAGGCCTGTCCCCTCTGACCTTGACTCCTGTCTGCTCAGCCCCAGGGCCCTGCCTGGACTCTCCCCAGGCTAGCAGCCAAGGATCAGGTCCCAAATGGGCCTCTCACCCTCTGGGCAGTCCTCTGGGTCCACTGCCTTGTGCCACCCCACACTGCTTCCGCATGCCTGGCTCCCCATCCCACATCCCCACAAGCTTTTGGAACAGGGCTGGTGTTCCTGGACCCAAGGGCTGCATCCCATTGGGTCCCCTCAGGGCTAGCCCCCTGCCCCTTCAGCCCCAGAGACCTCGATCCCAGGGTCCCCCTCCATCCCAACTCACCATCCACCTGGCAACTCAACCAGCTCAGACTCTCCTCCTGCACAGGGAGGACACCTGAGCCCCTTGAGCCCCAGCTGCCCCTGCTCCCTGTAGCTGCTCAGCCCCCACCAGCTGAGGTCTCTGTTTAGCTCAGGTCCAATGACCTTCGTCCCCTAAGTTCATGGGCAGTTCTCTGCCCCCTTGTGCCCTTCCATCCTCCTGCCCACCCTGGCAAGCTCTGCCTGCTCCCACGGAGCTTCTGAGCAGCCCCTGCCCCGCCTTACCCTCCCACCTGCCTCAGCTCACCTGCCCAGCTCTGCTTGCCCCCCTGGAGCTCCTGGGGAGCCCCTGCCCCGTCTTACCCTCCCATCTGTCTCTGCTCACCTGCCAAGCTCTGCTTAACTCCCGGAGCTCCTGGGGAGGCCCTGCCCCATCTTACTCTCCGACCTGTCTCTGGTCACCTGCCAAGCTGTGCGTGATCCCTGGAGCACCTAGGCAGCCCCCTGCCCCATCATACCCTCTCACTTGCCCAGCTCACCGATAGTTGCTCCGCCTGCCCCTCTGGAGCTCCTGGAGCAGGTTCTGCCCTTTGGGGCCTCCCACCTAGCCTGCTCACCTGTAGCTGCTCTGCCCTTTGTCCCTCGAGTGTCTGGTCCATTTTAGCCCCCTGCCCATTCTGCCCTATGATCCCCTTGCTACCAGAGCCCTTAGCTTAGCCCAGGGCACTGGGTCTCCCCAGGGCTGCCTCTGCCCCTGCCCCTCCTGCTTGTTCCAGAGCCCTCCGCCCAGGTTTGCCATTGCTCCTTGTCTCATTCCTTTCCCAGCTCGGGTTTTGCCTCCTGGAGCCACCAGGTGCCCACCCTCTCTCTGGCCAGCTCTTCCCTAGAAGACCCCCATTCTGCTGTGGTCCCCTCCTGGAGGACCTCCTGCCCCTAGCTGGGCCTCACACTCTTCTTGCCCCTCACCACCCTTGGAAGCCCCATCTGGAAGCCCCCTCTGGACCTTTATCCCTCCAGTTGCCGGGTCAGCTGCCCTGTGCCCACCAGCTCGCAGCCCCTGGAGCCCTGCCTCCTGCTCCTGACCCTCACTGCCCGACCCCCAACGCCCCTCCTATAGCCCACTGAGCTCCTGCTCAGCCCTGTGCTGTCTGAGTTCTGAGCACACGGGAGCCCACGCTGCCCCCCTGCTCTGCTCCTGGCTCACCTGCTGCCCTCAGCCATGGCCATAGCCCAGGACCCCACGGCCACCACCTCTCACCCTGCCCGGGGGCTTGAGCTGTGTCCATTGGCCTGGACAGGATCCTTAGGTCACCTGGGAGTCCTCTTCCTCACCTGTGCTGAGCCAGTCCTCTCCCTGTGTCCTATACTCAAACCTGTCTGTCCATCTTGGTGTCCGTCCTGCAGCAGTTCAGCTCCTGCCCGGCCCTGCCCTCAGCACAGTGGGCCAGTGGCAGCCTCCAGGCTTCTGGCCTCTCAGCCCATCATGTTCCTCTAAACCCCTGGGTCCTGCCACCCTGTCAATGTCCATCAGCCTCCAGTGTGTTCAGCTCTGTTGGCATGCACATGCCTCTGCCCGTAGCTTCCTGGTGCTGGCTCTGGGTCAGTGCTGTGGCCTGTGGGCAGCCTGTCTTCCCCCGTGCTGGCTCAGCTTCTCGAGCCCCTCTGTGACATCCCTGAGGACCTGACTCCCCTCAGCTCCTGTGAACGTTTCCACTGTCCCCACTCCACTCCCTCCCCCTCCTCTGTGGGGACCCCACTCACCGAGGGTGGGGATTGCTGGGTTGGCTGCCCCTCAGCCCAGCCGGGGTCTCCGAGGCATCCCTGCCCCCTCTGTGCTCTGGCTTCAGGCACACGTGGCTCCTCACGGCCCTGTGCTCTGTCCCCACTGCCCGGCTCCTCGGAGTTCATAGCCGGGTCCTCCGAGGTGTGAATGCCTCTCGACAGCCCTGCAAAGACTAAGAACGGGACTGAAACCAGGGGGTACCTCTTGCTTCCTGAAGTTCCCTTTTCTTCTAGGTGGTTTGTATCTGAAAAGGCCTGGGGGAGTCCAGACATGGCCGAGGCTGCCTCACGTGGGTGTGTGGGAGTGGAATGAGGTTGGTGCCTGTGACCCAGGGGAGAGTCCCGGAAGCCCGGCATTATGTGCTGCTCTTTGCTCTCTGCTTCCACAGGGATTATGCCTCCTGGCCCCACCACAGTCCCGCGTACCTGAGCCTCTCACCAGAGCCCTCTCATTCCCCTACACCAGAGGGCACGTCTCCCTGCCTGGGTCAGCGTGCAGTGTGGACACAGGCTGTCCTGCTCACAACCCGCAGCCCAGCCCAGGGCCCCGTCCTCTCCACCCACCAGGATGGCCTCCCAAGTAGAAAGTTGTATTCCTCTGAGTCCCTGCTTCTTCCCTCTTTCCCTCTCTGGCTCCATCCAGGGCCCAGATCTCTAACAGAAGGATGGTGCAACACCCGGGGTCAGAGGGAAGCTATTCTCCCAGCCACAGCTGTCCTCCGGGGGATGGACAGAACTCTGAGGTGCAAGGACAGAGTTCACGGTGGTCCCTGGGGCCCGAACGTGCTCCTCCATCTGAGAGACAGTGTGCAGTCCCTGTCCTCCCGTGTGGGAGCCGAGACCCAGCCGTCCTGTGTAGGAGGGGACACGGACGCTCAGTGTCTCGTGTCTTGGAGTGCCGCGGGCTCACTCCAGGCCCTGTGTCCACCCCTGGGCTGCCCTGTATCTTCCACGTTAGGCTTTGGATTGGGGATCCCTGGGAGGCACCGTGGCTTCCACCCCAGAATTGCCAGGGGGTGGGGGGGTGACTGGAGGGTGTTGGACCTGGCTTCTTCCAAGTGGTCGGTGGACACGGGCTTGTGCTCTGGTCCCTTCCCGTGGGCTGGGAGCAGAGTACAAGGCTGTAGAAAGCGAACCTTCTAGGAGGTGCCTTCAGACATATAAGGAGAGCTGGCCCTCCCACCCACTGGTGTTTGCAGCGCTCTTTGGCTTCAGGTGTCCCCAGAGCCACCCCACATCCTCCAACAGTCTCTTCCAGATCCCTCTGCCTCCCCTGCCATCAAATCTTCATGCCACTTGCTACAATTGGGGGTTTTCTCAGAATAGCACCCACTTCCAGGTCCCAAATCCTGGTCCGGTGGCTCCTGGGTGTGCAGTGGGCCGCCACACGGCAAGAAGGCTGCACAGCTAGCCCGCTGAGTTTGTTGGGGTGTTGGCAGCTTGCAGGTGGTGCCAGGCTCTGTGGGTGGGGGGCACTCCTCTCTGCTCCACTCACATTAGTGAGAAGCTAGAAGGCTCCCCCTGGGGTCCGGTGACGGGGCTGGGTGCTCCCGTGTTCCCCTTCTGTCTTCGTGAGGCTCTCTGTGGGGATTCCCCAGCACTGCCCTTTTGCATAAGTGGACTGCTGCTCAGTGCCTGGGCCTGACTCCCAGGAGAAGATCTGTCTTGCTCTCAGAGATCCAGCCGCAGCCCCAGTGGGGCCCTGTCCCCATGGAGGGGGTCACGTAGGCCCTGGGATCTGGGGAGGGAAGTGAACCCTCCCTCTGCATGGGGCATGGCCACGTCATGGAGGAGCCCGTGGTCCTGGAAATGTTGCTGTGACCACTTTGCAAAATGCCATTGGCCACAGCCTTGGTGAAGGGAATGCCCTCTGGTCCCTCTCAGGAGGAATTCATGATAAATCCACCACACACTCCTCGCTCCTCCAGCACGGCTTCCTCTCCACTTCGCCCACGAGCTCTGCCATCTCTCCCACTTAAGGTAGGCCACCCTCGATTCATGACATGGGCAATTGGTCACCAGCTCTGCAAGCTGTGATCATTGCTACAGTTGCCTAAGAATCACATTCATCTATGTAGTTTGTGGTCAGTGAAATGTTGACGCAAATAATCCATAATAAATCTATAGATTAAAACTGGGGTGAGTTTATTATATGAGCCAATCAGAGGACTGTATAACCAGGGGGAGCCACCTTCACCAAGGAACGAGGCACTCTGAGGATGTAGGGTGTACAGCATGGTTAGTTACCGTCTTGGAACAAGGAACAACCATCGA